ATGAGAAGTTTGTGAAGGCTTTTTAAAAAAAAAACAGACTCGACAAATGTCAGTTCCTCCAGCATGTGCTGGAAGCGGGCAGGAGATGAGCTGTGCAGAGTGGAGACACTCTATGCCTCAACTATTCAAAGCTGTTTAAGTTTTGCCACAGCCTTGGGGAATATTTAGCCAAGGCAGGGTGTGTCCGTGCCTCGCCACAGCTGTTAGCACACAGACAGTCCCTGCAACTGCTTCACCCATTTATTTGGAAAGCTGTTGCCATACGAGTACCTTGACATCTCCCAAAACCTTCTGAGTAGCTGAAGCGGTGGTAGCCACGGACTTTTTTTCCACCAATTACTTTGACTTTCAGAGTAGAATACACAAACAAATGCAAAGTTTCATCGAATCTGTATTATCTTAACAAAGCTTCTGAATTATTTAATGCATTCTATATGATTATTACTTAATTTAGATCACAACACAGCAACTGCATTAGCAAGTTTAGCCCCTGTCTTCTCATGAATATAATGAAATGGCTAAAGATGTGTTTTGTTTTCTTGTTGCTAAAGTATCGCATTTTCTTTCCGTGACAACAGAAAGTGTTCCGGATCTCCAGATCCCTAGAAAAGACATGGAGACTTCATGTGACACACTCAATTACATCATAAGATATATTCCAAAAAACGTTTGTTCTAGCTGAATATTACCCTTCCCTGACCACAACCTCCAGAAGCAAAGATTTCTGCAGAAAATCTGGGGTACAGAACAGAGAGCTTGAGCCCGTAGCGCACGTATTCATTCATTCATCATTCCTCCTGACCTGATTTTGTGCTCTAACTTTTCTGACAGCTTGCACGCGTTTCCCTGGTGATCCAAGTTTGTTGCCAAAGCAGTCAAATGAATCATCTATTTACAGTAAAAGCAGGGAGCTGCCAGGGGAATACCTGATGCCTCTGCTTGCGGTGTGCAAGTCTCAGGGCCGCTGATGACGAAGCCCTTCCTCTCAGCTCTCCAGGCATGTGCCACATCCACGTCGTGGCACCCACCCCGGCACCGTGGCTGTGTGGACCCTACACCAGGGTCACAGGACTGGTTGGTTAAGGGTGTCTTGAAATAGCACCACTGGATGGTAACGCTTGGGAGGAAAAAAACTCAGAAAGCCAAGCTCTCCAAGCAAGATGGGTAGACAGGCTGCCTTGGTTCTTGTCTTAGCTGCCTCTGCGGCTCCAGACAAGCTGCCCTAGGTCAGGACCCCTCTGCTTTTAAAATACATATTAGTTCACTCATAGAGCATCTGGGCCTCCCACAAATACTCCCGCTGTAATGGAAATTATTCTTCTCCAAACCGCAAGGGAAAATGCTTGCTTTTTCCAGCCTCCTCTCTGTCTTCTCTGGAGAGTTTAAAATCACCGAGCACTGCCAAAGGCACACTTGGGGCACACACAGGGTGCTGTGGCACCCCCGTCTCCTATTGCTGATCCATTCTGGTTTAGATGGTGGGGGGTTAACCAGACCTAGAGTTGCCCAGCATGTCCTGCTCCCTCCGTGGCAGGAGCAAGATGCCTGTGCTCCTCCGCAGGGCAGGCAGGCACCCTCTGCCTCCCAAAACAGTCCCCTGCCTCCCACAGCGCCCATCGGCAAGGCAGTTATACCAAGCGTGGGGTTGTGTCACTCCAGACGCAGTGGCCAACCCCTTCCTTTCCCAGGACAGCTTGTTAGGAGATGCCACTGCTCGACCCTGCCCGCTGGGACAGGGAATGTCTCTCACCCCAACTCGCTTAATCGATGTCACCACTGCTGCGTCAGTTTTCATGTGCGCACATCCCTTTGGATATCAGCAAGATGAAGGGTTTAGATACTTCCCAAATCTGCTTCCAAGAATCTATGCTGATGTCTTGGACTCCTTTGGATCTGCTCCCCGAAGCTGGGTGGCTGCACAGTGAACAAGAGCAGCAGCCGCCCTGGCAAGTTTCTGTTTGGCTGTATCATTAAACTGAAGTCGGAGAAAATAGGAGGTGTGCTTTTGGTTTACATATTTGGTAAGGAAATTGTAATTATTTGTAGAAAATGAATATAAATTGTTTCCTACTATGCAACCACATTTGATTGCACAATAAAGCCAGCACTGAAAAGGTGTAATATAAATTGTTTCCTACTAAGCAACCACATTGGATTGCACAATAAAGCCAGCACTGAAAAGGTGCCTGATAATGCCCTTTCAACTACTTTGTTCAGGTTATATTTGGATTAAACTTCCAAGTATTTGGATTAAACCTCCAAATAGCTGCTTTAACTTCCACTTGGCTTCCAGGGTTAAGCTTTAAAAAATGGCATGAGGTAAATTCACAGTTACCACTTTGCCGACATCAGTCAGAAGTGCACTTCTTAAATTTTGTATTTAGAGTGAGAAACTGTAATTAATTAGGCTCACAGCAATGCCAGAAATAGACTTTCCTCCAGTGGTGCTGCCAGCAGGTACTCTCAGGGCACACCCTGCACGAGAGCACACCCCCCACACACCTCCAGAGCTGGATGCCGCACGAAAAGCAACAGCAGCTGCTTTTTCTTCAGAAAAACCACAGGCAGCGGAGATGGCCACGGCACAGAAACTCTCTTTCTTCCCTTTTTACTGCACAGCAGCATGAGAGCACTTGCCTGGGAAGTCGGATTTAAGCACAGCTCCCAGCTGAGCTAGAGGGGCTTCAAAGCCCACCACAAGCCATGAGGATAAGCAACAGCCCCTTTGAATCGTAACTCGACAAGTTGGAGTTTGAGGTGCCAGACTGAGAACAGAAGGCTCTGCCACAAAGTTCTGCAAGCCGGAAGACCCAAGAAAAGAAGAAAAACAACCAAAACGGAGATGGCCACAGCCAGCTCGGCATCAGCAAGGTCACGATGTGAGGGGGACGCTTTCTTTATGCCCTCTTTACGTGGGGCTGCAGCTTAAACATGGGTTCAAGGTTCAGTGTCCCAGGCACAGCCAGTGAGGGGAACCGGTTTGCTAGCCTGATGGCTACTTGCAGCTGCAGAAGGGTTTGACCCAGAGCTGTTAAAATATTTTATCTTACACCCATGAAGTGTAAAATACTTGCAGGCAAGATGCCAGAGCATGACTCGCCCTTGGGGAAGTATCTCTTCTGCATTGGCCTGTGATGGCCTGTTCCCCCTAGAACAATAAGAAAGGGCAATGACTCAAGTTTTCCCTATGCTCTGCGTCAAACAGGGTAAGGTAAGGAGTGTCCTTGCCCAAAACACCCCTCAGGGCAGGGCAGTGAGTCAGCACCCACAAAATTACGAAATCTGGGGATCCCTGCAGGCGGGGGAGTGGGGATCCCTGCAGGCGGGGGGAGTCCGAGCAGGAGGAGAAGGACGTGGGGGTGGACGCTACCAGCACTGGGTGGCCACCCCCGGCATGGGCCATCAGGAACCGGGGCTGGATTCCGTCCTGGGGAAGGCAGTGCAGTTCTGTCACCCGCAAGAAGGAAATATTTGTGACCAGTGTTATAATGGCCCATAAAAGTACATTTATTTTGGGGTGCCTGTCAAAAAAGAGAGGGGATGAATTAAAAACCAAACCAACAGCACAACAAAACAGAGGCTCAGAGTAGTAAGCACAGACTTGAAATTCCACTCTTATGGGCTTTGTAGAGCTTAAAAAAATATCAGAAGTTAAGAGAGTGCTTAATTGGTCGAGACATACAATGATGGACACTGTATTTTGTTTTAAGGTTATCTTCCTTGCAAAGGCAATGATTATTTTAGAGAGAGGTCTATATTAAAGAAAATTGGTTTTATTGTAAACAAAGTATAAAGTACAACATAAGAAATGTGCAAATCTGTAAAGTAGTCACAAAAAGCATATCTAATACACTATTTTCAAACTGTTCACTTTGATATGTGTCCTCAACATAATGATAAAATAGAAATAGTGAAAGTTGATGCATTATCTGTCACAAAAGCTACAGTTCAAATTCTAGGCCAGTGTCTTTACTGCCCCATTTTACTGTCCAAATCACAACTTTCTAATTTAAAATGATACATAATATATCCATTTCACTTTTAGTATAAAACATCTCTTGAAGAATAGCATGATCGAGAAGCCTAAGATTCTTGGTTTTCATCCTTAACCAACCCCAGTAGTTTACAGTTACAACATTTCTCTTAAAAGTGCACTGTATCTATTTACAAAAAAAATGCAGTGATACACAATGTGAGAGGTATAAAGGAAACCATAAGCAACACAAAAGCAGAAGCATCCTATGATGCCCCGGTATAACCAGTTGTAATAATCACAAAGCTTGCCAAAGAAGCCGGGAAAATACTACAAAGCGAATGAGGATTCAGAAACATTCCTACCCTCCAGCTGCCCTTGTGGTGTCCCTGGACGCCCACCCTGAGTCCCCCCTGGACAGAGGCACAGAGCTGGGTGCGTTAAACCCCCTGTGCAGGAGGACAGATCTAAAACCTCCAGGAGTCTGGCACCTCATTGCTTATGACTGGGCCAAAGAATCGATAGGAGGAAAAGATTCCTACCAAGAAAAGGTGGAAAGTAGGAAAACCGATTCAGATTACCTTATGCAGGCACATTCTGGGCTTTCAAGCCTGCGCCCGTGCACTGCTGTCTCCCTAGTCTGTGCTGTACTGAAGACTGACAGCTGAAAGTTGGAGCTGGTCTCAAGCGTCAGCAGCAAACCTGCGGTAACACTTACACGTGACTGATCTAGAATATATATAGAACAATTTGCAAAATTCAAAACTGGCACAGTGTGTGCTGCTCTGCTCTAGAACCTTCACTTTCTCTCTCTCTCCTTCCCAGTGCAAAAGACAGCCACTATTCCAGTCAGCCACCGGTTCTCCCAGCAACACTTTTTGTGACCGACTGCAGACTGCCTTTGCCTCTCTGCTGCACCACCAGCAGCAGCCGGCACGGCAGAACTACAGACTGGAAGCAAAAGCCTTTTATCAGCCGGTATATCCCAGCGACAACAGTTAATTCCACCGTCTCCAAGTAAGTCCTTTCACTGCGCAGTCGCAGATGTCGGCGGCTCGGTGATATCATTTAATTTGCTCACTTCCATTTGCCAGTTTGGTAACTTCTTAGCCGATAAGTGGCGACGTGCATGCTTCGTTAAGTGGTCGCTCCTCATGAACCGCCGCTCACACATCGGGCAGGCAAACTTCTTCTCCCCAGTATGTGTTCTGCGATGGCGAGACAGTTCATCAGATCGTGCAAACCTTCTCTCACAGCCTTTCCAACTACAACTAAATGGCTTTTCTCCTAAAAGAAAAACAAAGGACAAAGAAAAAAAACAACAAAAATGTGAGTACTAATTGAGCAACAAACACTACTGCCTTGATTGACAGGGATTTGACTTTAAATCTATTATCATAGTTGAGCCAAAAATCATTACTCACTATTTTAGATATATGAAATATGAAAAATCGTTTAATATACCAATATTTAAACATGCACACTCATTATCCTCAAGGCTAAGTAGTACAAAAGGTGAACAATTTGTTTGAGATGCTCTTTAGTCTCAAGACACTTAGCTCCCCATGAACTGCAGATGACGACCCAGCACACTCCAAACTACCTCCTGAAATGCAACCTGCAGTAACATTTTATGTAACACAGCCCTGGTTGTGCACTGTGAGACTATGTGAAAACACATGTGACTCTTTTTGCTACTGCAATTAAGAGCTGAGGCATGGAGAAGTTACTCTAAAATAACCAAGGCAGGAATAGTTTGGAGCAGATCCTTATATTCTTTCATAAAAGAATCTCTTCAAGTTCTACCCACATCTAGCAAAGGCATTCTTGTGGAGAAGCCTAATAAGGCATCTTTAACCCAGGAAAAGCACTCTGCATGGGGCGAGGCCTTGCTTCCACACTCATGAGAAGCATTACTGAATGCCTTCTGACATCAAGCAAGTCCAGCACAAACAGACTGCTGAGTCAACTTCCCCTCTGGGAGGCTTCCTGGTTAGACAGCATTGTAATGCACACTGGCAAAAACGTATTTCACTGCCGCCCTGCAACTTGTTCCATGAACAAACCCAGTAATCGCTAGAACCTTAACGAGTTGTCTATATAGCCATGATTTTCTACATTTGTTTTTAACAGCCAGCAACAGCAACCAACCTGTGTGTGTTCTTATGTGAGCTTTTAAATGGGAGCTCTTGAAGTACGTTTTCCCACACCCTGGGTAGCTGCAAATGTGACTTCTTATTCTTGAAGAATCGACTGGAGGAGTGGTTTTTGCTGCAGAAGGTACGAAGCCGGGAGCCGGGGCAATGGGAGAGAGTCTCGTGCCATTCGGGCTAACAATGGGAGCCTTTGTGCTCTGCACAACGGGCTGGGGCACAACAAACATCACAGCGCCTTTGGGAACTTGGGTTCCCATGAAGACCATGGGCTGACAGAGAGCTGGCTGCTGGCTTGGCGTGCCGTTAGGCACTACGGCTGTCATGACGTTGTTGTTGGCGGGCAGAGGGACCATCTGGCAAATCACTGGCATGGGGGGGGCTCCACCACCTTGGGCAGGGCATGGCGGTGCCATGACTGCTGACTGCTGCAGTGAGCCGGGGGCAGGCTGATGCCTGCTGGCTGAAGGCTTGGTCATGGGCACCGGATCGACAGCCGGTTCTGCGTTTTTTCCTTCAGCCACCAGCAGTTCACTGCTCTCATCGCTGGCTCTGCTCAGCGCCACGGCAGAACACACCAAATCTTCTGCTTTGGTGTTCTGTTTGTTTGAAACGCTGTCCTGGTATTTCAGCACACTGGCTGTTCTCACCGGGCAGGTTTTGCGATTACAAAGCTGGGCATCAGCTGTGTGGCGGATAACACTCGTGGCTTGGGCTTTCAGAGGCCTGGCTGCTGGAGGCCTCTCTGCCTCTCTCCGAGGTGCAGCCAAAAGCTTGGCAGCCTCCGTCAGTGACTTGCTGAGCGCTGCAGCGGGCGCTGGTGCCCCCTGATGTGACATCTCGAAGTCAGATGGGCTGTAGGGAGGCGTCAGGCACTGTGAGCGGGAGAGAGACACACAGTAAGCGTGTGCCACATTACCAACATATTCCTACACTCATTGTTAGAAACAAGCACACACATGTACAAATTCAAAAAACTTACAAATGCTGGTATTGCATTAAAATCCGCAACTCCGGGAAGCAAAGTCTCATCACTCTCTTCTGACATATCAGATGCTGGAGTTATAGGTCTCATTTCTGCATGTTTTTTTAAGTCTGATTTCCAGTTGCAACTCATAGAAATAAGGGCCTCTACAGCCTCATAATCGCTTTTTTCAGGAGTATTGTTCCAGCAGCATCTAGTATCTCTCTGTTTCTCAGTCATCATCTCCATCTCTTCCTCCTGTTTCAGCCAGAGGAAAAAATGGAAACTTTAAATCTGATGCTAAAGTTTGAATATTTTGCAAGTACTTATAGGAAGGCATCATAAAAAACAAACAAAGCAATCCATGCAAGATAACTACCTTGGTCATATGGGATGTATGCCTGTATTCTCCTACCCTTTTCCTTGACTATCTAGCATTTTTACAAAGTTGTTAGCAGGGAAATCTGGCCATCTGGTGAAGACTATATATTTTCTTGAGACAAAAGAACTCACCCAAGTCTCAAGCAACAGTTTAAATTATTCCATATTGCAAGTGCTGTGTTTGAAAGCTTAGCAAAAATCTTCACTGCTCCCCCAAAAAACCAGAAACCCTAGCCCACCCTCCTTCCACTTTTGCTTTAAATAAGTATTGCGCTTATTTTGACACACAAGGAAGGACCGTATTGGGACCAACGCACTTCTACCAAAAAGTGTTCCAGAAAATACTCAAAAGGTCTCTCTTACACATTCCTGCAAAGGAAACCAACTTAACTTGGAGAACCGAAATAGATGTATGTATATTGGCTACCTGACCGATCGCCG